CAGGCCAGTTTGCTCAGACTTCCAATTTGCTTTTTCCAGGGCCGGGAAAAAGCAAAATGGTTCAGACTTCCAATTTGTTTTTTCCCAGGCCTGGAAAAAGCAAAAGGCTCAGACTTCCAATTTGCTTTTTCCCGGCCCGGGAAAAAGCAAAATTGTTTCAGATTTCCAATTTGCTTTTTCCCAACCCGGGAAAAAGCAATCGGAAGTCTGAAGAGCAATTGTTCTTGCAGCGTGGCCAGGTCACCAACATGACTTGCGCAGACCTTTCGCAGGACCTTCGCGAACCTTTCGCGACTGCAGTGAGAGCACACTCGAAATCAGCCTTTGAAATTCGATCACTAACAAGGAAGAGGTGGGTTTTTGAACGACGCTCATATGCAAAGCGAAGCGAAGCAACCCAAAGCGAAGCAAAGCAACCTAAAGCGAAGCAAAGCGAAGTTGTCGAGAAGCAGAGCAACACCAAACCGAAGCAACGCAAAGGGAAGCGAAGCAAAGCATGTTGAGTTGGAACAAGCAACAAAGTGTGCAGTCGGATAGTGCCGTGACTGCTTGGAACATGTCCCGGAACAATCCAGCACAGCTTCTCCCTGAAGAACTTGCAGGATACTATAAAAAACGACGGTCAATCACATCATGTGTACCCAACGCTGATGCTGCTAAGGAGTTCTCGCCAGTTTACATTGAGGTTCAAAAGGTTGACAAGAATGTCCGTGGTCGTCAGGCATCGGTTGAGTATGGCTGAGTTTGCATCAGATCCTTCGAAGGAAGAGCGAAAGGGTGATTCGGCGGAGAATGTGCTTGACGCTAAAAAACCGGTCCCAAAGAAATAGGGTCGTGAATCTAACCGAGGGGCCGCCTGTCACTGTCTTTTCTCCTTGAGATGAATCCACTTCGTTTTGCGTCGGAACCGATTTCATCAGCTTTCAAGCTTCAAGGTGCGACATATCGTGATGTGATATGATGTGTACAAAATCATAAGGTGCGTGATGCAGCCTTTGAAGAACAATTCGGCGCCTGACCCATTTCCTTGGCACCTGGGATGCTACAGTCATGCGGGTGCGCCCTTCCACAGGGATTGATCTTTGTTGCGATTGATCTCATTCTGACTATACGTTGATCTTTCTTGCCAAATGTTTCTTTGATGGAATCTTGGGCACAAACTTGAATCTTGGAAAGTCCTGCTGTCGATCTGGGGGTCTGTCATGGTCTGTCAAACATGTTTTCGTTTAAACATCTTAAAACTTCACTTCGTTGTCTTTGCTTTTGTTGGGCAACACACTGATCGACGTTGATACGCGTGGCACTCGTTGCTGAGGGTTCGTTGGGGCGAGGGGGCGGGCTCCGGAGTCGTGAGCGTCCAAGGAAAACATTCATTTTGCGAGGTCAAAGAGCCGGTCAAACTTCAAACCGTTGACCTGAACCCGGTCCAACCCATGAACTATTGGTAACTATTTTCCATTTTCTCCCATGCGTTGGGAGTAAGGAGTTCTTAGCTCCTGACGGGCATTGCAAGAGAGATCCAGCAAAACCTGGAATATAAAATCAGCAAACGTCTTGATGAATTGTATGATGAGTAGTGTGATGAATTGATGTCACACTTGGCCACGAAGGCTCTTCCCATGCGCCCGCCTTCCAGGATGGCCTTCTTGGTTCCACCAGTGCTATCCTCACAGTGTTTCAATGTTTTCAGGGATTTGCAGGTTGTAATGTGTTGTCGCCGTCTAGAAACAGAAACTCCCTATCTGAGCAACGCATCCTCAAATGCAGCCAGTAAAGCTTCCACAGTCACCATGTCCATCCTCGGAAAAAGAGTTGCTCGGCCAAAATATGCATGCATGCTGTGGTGCACACTATGCTGTCCTATGCTGTCAGTCATACAGTATGTGCTTTGTTATGATGTGTGCTGTGCTGCAGCTGTAAACAGTTCCTCCTGGACGGATTTTGATTCAACTAACAAGTCACCCTTCCTCACGACCCACACCGCACCGTAGCCCTTCATCACTTCATCCTCTTCGTTCTACTCTTCGTCCTCTTCCTCCCCTTCTTCGTCCCCTCCGTCGTTTCGGAGTCTTCATCCTCCTCTGAGTCCTCCTCTTCGGTCCTCTTCATCTTGTTAGTCCTCTTTGTCCTCGTCCTCTGGAAAAACTCTGCATTTTCCGGTAATAGCGCCACAAAACTTGCCCGGGCCTAGGACATAGTTGTTCCTCTTCGTCTTGTTTGTCCTCGTCCTTCTGTGCGATATGCTGGACTCAACTGTAGGCTTCAACCAGCCATCATGCCCCAGACCTGTCCTATCTTGTTGCCCGCAGCTTCAACAAGATAGACTTGTCGCATTTCCACCATATAGATGCTTATACTGAGACATGCATGGCTTAATCTTGCAAACAAGCATGTGACTGCGGACATCACCACAGCCTCCCCTCAACCCTGCCTTTCGGCTAGTCAGAGGTCGGGTTGCCGGAGGCTTTAAATGTGAGTCAGGAGAACGGTTCCATGCTGGTTTCAAGTTGCCATAGCTGTACATACACAACCAGGACAAAAGTTGGTAACAAACTTGTGAATACATAACCTACAACCCTTTCCCCTTAGAATCCTACAGGGGACCGCAGTGGAATTCCGGCGCATTAGTTTCCACCCCGAAGTAAATGTATAGTATCGTAACTTAGTTAGGGGTGGAAACTAATCCGCCAAAATTTCATTGGGAAAGAGAAGTGGTGTCAATGACATTCTCGAATGAAGTTGCTATCACACTTTCTTCCTCCTGAACTCCTGAAGTATATATATATAACTCATTATGACTATATAACTGCCAAGCGGATTCAATGGCGCAGCCTTATGACCGAAAGGTCAAAAGCCTTGTGCTGAACGCGACTGTGTCCAACAGTCGAACTGCGGCCAAGGCACAACTCGCGAACCTCACCTTTGTAAGGTGCAATGACGACCTTTCGACCTCAGGTCATTATATAATCAGGGCAGAGCAGGGCAAACAAAGAACTGTGCTTCCAATAAAGCACACAACTGGCAGTACATCTGTTCAAGTTCCTTCCTTTTCAGACACCTTTCACCCAATGAACTGAAGCATTACACAAGGGCAATATCAAATGGGAAGAAAGGGAAGAAGAAAGAAACCAACAAACATTTATGATGGAAGGGAGACATGGACGGAAGAAGTCCTATCGACGGCCTAGGCTCAACACGCCCAAGGAATTCCCTCATATAGTCTGCCTGTTGCCAAAATCCAAGCGATGTGTTCCTGAACTTGGTTTCCATGTGTCTAGGACTGTAGAATCCAAGCTGCATTACGCCAAAGAGAGACTCCAGCGGGAGTGGACAATGAATGTTAACGATGATCAATAGTTGAAAAAATTAATCTCAGGCGGTTGTGGAGGAGACATGAGGAACTAATCTTTGCGGGATCGTCTTCTACGCTCAGGGCTCCGTCAAAGAAACCGATAGCCCTGCGAATTGCTGGCGGTGAGTAGCTGATAGAAGGACAAACATAACCTTGCACATCCCGTTCAAACGTATGTCCGTTGATCGAACTATATAATGAGCGTACATAATTACTACATACAACATCATATAACACGGATCCTTTTGCAATGGAATTCACTTGTAGATTGAGATAGAGACTGTATATAGAAAAAAGGTCAATTGAATTGTGTTTACCAGGCACATCACTGCTCGTCATGTGTTTAACGTGACTCGTGACTGACATTGCTCCTCGTTCTCTTTTTGTTTGTTTTTGTGTTTTCTTTTGTTCATGTCTTTTTATCTTCCTTTTGTACGCGCTTTAGCGCAATCCGAAATTCGGTGAAGATTTGCCAGCCTGCGCTTGCAGCCGTCGACGGTAAGGCCTCGACAAAACAAGGGTCAGTCATCAATGTCTTGCAAATGTCATTGGGGAGGTTTAAGCATTGATTGCACTCAGCATCCCACACCTTTTCGCAGCTTGGGAGGTTCAAACCCAACAATAGCTCCTGTGCAGCAGCAAAAATCGTAGAAACTCGGGAAATTTGTTCCATGTGCTTTGAACAAAAGAGTCACAACTGGAACTGGTGCAAATAGTCCGCATTCAAATTGAAAAGGCTTTGCCCATGACACAACATCCTAAAGCAAAAAAATCAAGTAGCTCCGTTCCATTCCCGGATGGCTGTGACTGCAATCGATTGGTGGTACCACGTTGCAAGATTGCACAACCGAAAGTCCTTTTTCAATAGCCAAGTCAAACGCTCAGACACCTCAACTTACCAACTGTATTGCCAACTGACTTCTGGAAGTGTTCTCTCAAGTATGGTGCTAAGTAAGCCATCCGCAACTCGCGGCGTTGCACCTGTGAAGGCCTCCAATTGTTGCCAAGATTGACCAGTTGAGGTTAAATGAGTTCAATATTTGCTTGGCCTTTTTGGGCGCATGAAGTCCCAATCTCCCACGATTTCTTCAACTTTCAGTCTCTCGGTGAGTTCCCCAGGAAAGTGTCTGCACCCTTGGGGAAACGGCTTCTTGGTTCAAGTATGTTTGTTTCTCCCTTCAGGTACCCTCTCGCAAAATCAGCACCCAGCTGGAAGCACCTGGTCGGCACGGTTTGGCACGAACATCCAGGTCGTGTTAGTTCCGCAGTAGTCATCGTGCTCAGTCTTCCGCTGCAAACACAGGGCCTTCCAGGGAAGAGCTGGGTGCAGTTAGGTTTGCAGTGCAGACTTTGCAAACTCCAGACCACATTCGCATCCCAAACCGTTTGCACTTGTTTGTGCCTCGTTCTCCCAGGACCACAAATTCTTGCGACCATGGTTGTCTGCTGTCCAAGTCCTCAAACATATAGAGCATCTGAGATCTCTGTTTATCAAGATTTCTGCAGGATTCAGTGATTCAGCATTGCCGAGTTGCAGGAACGGACCGCCACAGCGACCATTCCCAGAAGTGGGTTGTTTGAAGTAGCAGCCACCTAAGACGGAACTCGTCAAGAAAAAATGATTATGGACAAAATTGGACACGAACATGCGTGCATCAGCTTGCATCATTCTTGACAAGCATCTTTTCCGTGGCTCAGCCGGATTCTTCGTTTCCTGCGTTGGAAGTGCCGGATCGCAGCGTTTCCTTTTCTGTTTGTGTTGTTGCCTTTCTTTTGGTCTGGCTTGCTTGAATCTTCGGATATCAGGTGAAATTTGATGTCAACGTTTTCCTACAATTTCATGCGGGCCTATATACATACATACAACATACATACATCCATCCACGCATGCATGCATACATTCATTCATACATACATAGATACATACATACATAATCCCGAGTACCTATTAATAAACACTCCCCAATTAAAAAAACCCCACGTCCGAACCCCTAAATTCGGTTTATATTTGGTTTTAAATTGCCGCCCTTTCAAACCGCTACTAAACTACCAACATGGTCGATTTTGGGGGTAGTTTTTTTTATTAGGTTCCCCAAAAACAACCGTAACTGCCCACCTCTGTCCGCCCTGTCTATCCACCATGACACGCCGCGCTTACACCAGCAGGCTTTCCTTCCCCCAATGGCACGGACTCACGCAAACGCACTTGCCACCGAGGTCATGCAACACCGCATGGCACAGCGACATCACCTTTCGAAAGCTTTAGCTGTTAGTCTACCGAAGAATAACTATTCTAATGAAGGTTTTTGTAGGGGAAAAGGAAGACCCTTCGATCTGGAGCTTTTTTGCATTTTTGATACGAGTTTAATAAAGGATTTTATATAAAACTTTACGGATTTACTTTTTGGTTTTGAAGCTCTTCCCAGGTGACCCTATTTTGGACCCCCCGATTTCAGGGACCCCCTATTAAAAAAAATGCGACCGAGGTTTTTTTAATGGGGGGGGGGGGGGCCCGTGTTTATTATTAGGGGGACGGGATTACATACATACACATCCATCCATCCATCCATGCATCCATCCTGCATTGCATTGCATTGCGTTGCATTGCATTGCATTGCATACATAACACAACGTAGCATAACATAACCTTACATTACTTTACGTTACGTTAAAACATCACATCACATACATACATGCATGCATACGTACATACAAACATACTCAACATACATATGTACATACACACACATACATACATACATGCGTACATACAATACAATACAGTAGACTACAAACAAAACAAGACAAACGTTACACACATGAATACATACATAACACAACATTACACCACACTACATTACGCTACACTACATTACCTTACATTACATACATACAAACATACATACATGCCATACACACATGCACACAAATATATATACATAGTGTACATACATGCGTACAAGCATACATACACACCTACATACATACATACATACATACATACATGTTACATGGCTCAAGCATCTGGGTTCAAGCGACTCAGGTGGCCCAAGCGCCGTGGCTTGGACACTACGCGTCCTCCCAGACCAGGTCTCTGCCAAGGAGTTCGGGCTTCATGGACCAGATCCTACCAGTGCTGCCGAAGTCCGACGTGTTCTAACTGGATTTGGGAGGATAGAGTATGTGAAGGATACGTCTGTTGCAAATGCGGACTGACATGGAAGCAGCCCTCCCAAGGGTACTTCAGCAGGAGCTCTCCTACCAGGTCACCGAGGAAGTTGAACCTCCGCAGAAGCCTTTGACTCAACCAGTTCCACAAGACTACAACTGACCTCCTGACCACATCTTGGAGCTCTTTGGACTCCAAGCTACAACAACAGCCGGAGCAGCTGGGGATCAAGCCTCCCCGTCCAAATCCAGAACCTGAGCTAACGGATGTCATCACGCGGCCTCCACCAGAGACGGAGCGGGACATGGCCATGAAGCTGAAGTCTCAAGTCTCCACCTTGAGAGACTTGTCACACCGAAAGCAAGTCCTCCAACACAAGCTTGACACGGCAAAGAAGACCTATGGAGACACGTTGAAGAGATGAAGGGCGTCCAATCAAAACTTGAAGCAGAACAAGGAGCACTGAATTCCACCAGCGCAGCCTACATGGCTCTGGTCAACACCAGCAAGCCTTCAGAAGATCTTCAAGAAGATTCGATGATGGATGACTCAGTGCCGGAGGCCGTAGCTGGCTTTATCACGACTTTAGGGGTCAGCCTTACAGATGACCACAAGGCCCAGCTCAACTCGACGCTGAAGCGGCCTCAATCTGAGACTCCTGAAGTGGAAAGCAAAAGACGCAAAACAGCAGTGGGCAACCCTGCCCACTCCTGCTGCGCTGTCGATTTTCTTGGGGCAGCTGACATCACGAGTCAATGAACGGGTTTCTCAATTGAGTTGCAGGGCTTTGAACTTTTTGCAGCCAGACGCTCGAGAGGAGCCAAGGTCCGCCGCGGGGGCTATGGACCATGGCGCAGTGAGCCTACGTTTTTTCAAGTTGAGAGGAGGCGGCGCTTTGCAAGCCTTGACCTCCAGGGTGAGCCAGATTGACCCAGGGGCGCCGGGCTCTTCTACCTCAGCGCAGGCCCTGCGGGGTACTGCAGCGCACGGGACGCCACAGGCCACTCTTTTGGTGGATCTCATGGGGGACGAAGATCTCAACATGGAAGATTCGATTTTGACCACGGGGGAAAAAGCCCTTTACGATTTGCGCAAACAAGACCTCATGACCTCTTGCCAAGCTTATGAAGGTGATTGGTCTGCATCTCGAGCGCAGCAATTCCTTGCAGACCTCAAGAGAATGGAGAAGGCGCTACACTAGCATCTTGGAGTAGAAGGAGATCATTCCTTTCTGCCCACTAATGTGTACGTGACAGCTCAAGCAAGCCTTGACGAGCATCCTCAGGTGTTGGGGTTGGCCCGGGGCGCACGCAGAAGACCAATAGCATGTTGGGCAGTTTCTGTCCGACAGCCAACCCTCCTGTCTCGGCAATGGTTGGATGGCAGAGACAAGGGGCTCTACCTTCAGACCGGGGAAACTCTCCAGTCACCCTTGAATGCTGATCTTCTTGCGCAGCTGCTCACCTTTTTGGGACAGCTCAATGCCCCTGGCAGAACGAACCAGAAGCTTTGGCTACAAGGGTCCACCACCTTGCAAGGAGGACAGCTCGACTACCTGCTTGTTTCCAAGTCCATTGCAAGCAGCGTCACGGCGCAAGCAGACTGGGAGGTAGCTTGGAAACCTCACGCATTCACCTTCAACTGTGCGCACTCGGTTGTCCCTGTTCAGCAACTCCAGAGGTTTCCACCGTTTGGCAGGACCTTCCAGCTCCCAGCTTTCTGGGAGGATGATCCTTTCACATCATCAAACAACAGATCACTGGTTTGGGCTCCGACAAAGCCAGATCGGCCACTCAAACTGAGAAGTACCTGATGGAGGTGCAAGATCTCCATGTATCAGGCGCCGCTGGTAGATCACACACGATCTCAGACCTGGAAGAAGGGGCGTTTGGCTTACTGGGAGAAGATGAAAGTCTGGGTCAACGCAGTGCACCAGTCCCAGAACATCAAAGTGGCGTCAACGTGACAGATGCCCTTCATCTCCACGCTTCGGGTTTCTTGGGATCAAGCCAGGCCGGGCAGGGATTGTCTGAGCATTGCCATCGGTCGCATGCTGCATGCCGAGATTGCCAACATCAAGGAGTTCACACGGTCACTTGTCTAGCAAACCTCACTTGCTTCTACGACCGTGTGGACCTGGATCAGATCATTGAGCTTGCGTATCCTCCTTTGCACCTCAATTGCTCTGGACCTTTACCGGGGACCCCGCACCATTCAGGCAGAAGGCATCAATGGAGATCCTCAACACTGCAGCAAAGGGATCTTGCAAGGATGTCCTCAAGCTCCAGCAATTTCAAAGCTGACCCTCTTCAAGCCACTCCGGGCCCTGGTGACAGCACACCCAGCTGTCTCTCTTCAGACATGGGTGGATGATGTCAGCTTTGACATTCATGCAGCCAGGGAAGTTGGAGCCTTCAGAACCCTCAAGTACCAGATGGAGCAGGCAGGGCTCAAAGCTGAGAACACAGACAAGACCGGTCCTCACCAGTCTACGTGCTCTCCTGCAAGAGGGAGATCCTGAGCGCTACGATGTCCTTCGAGATTTAGGAGTGGACTCAACTGCCGGTCGGAAGAGGAGAGTGGCGCAGGTCAAAAAGAAATTCCCGAAAGGAAGAGGACGAGTGGGGATCATGCATCGCCTTCGGATCTCCACAGGCATCAGATATGGGCTCCACAAAGGAGCAGTACATCCAGCGATGACCTGCAGGGTGCGCAGGCGAATGTTCGACACAGCCTGACCCGGGAGACTCCATCATCCTCCAGCACCTGCACACCATCTGGAGGGTTTTCCACAGCTTCAAAGAGAGCAAGCAGCATCTCTTTTGGACCAGCTGGAATAGTTCTGGGAGCTTTGCAGAAGGTTCGATATCGATGGCAGGTGGTCTCAGGCCCTCTCCAAGCCTTGCAAGCATACCTGCTTGACCTCGAATTTGACATCTCCAATGGACAGCAGTGGAAGCGCACTGCATGGCTATATGGAGGCATCCCGGCATGGCCAGTTTTGCACTACAAGCTCCAGCAGGAATTCTGGTGGCAACGACTTCTCAGATTGACGAGGTATGAGGGTTGCCACGACCTGGAGAGCCCTTGGATTGGATGATCAGCCTCCACGTCCAGAGATCCACTATAGAGCAGGTTGCAACGGGTCTTCGAGCTTTCCACCAGTTCTGGGAGAGAGACAAAGACCTTCCACAAGAATGGACAAACAGGTTGGCAGCGACCTTTGAGGGCATTGGGCTGCGGAAAGACCTCAGTCCGCTCCGTTTGGACAAAGGACACATCTGCTCCATTGCAGTGGCTCCCACGCGCGGAGACAAGAGACACAAGAGATTTGCTTTTGCCATTTGTGTACACCTCACCACCAACAAGAAGAGGGTAGGCTCGATCACGGGCATCTGTCCTGGACCTGCGTCCAAGAAGAGAGCTCTCTTCTATGCTTTGAAACAACTGGCGCTCCATGTCATTGAAAAGACGCCTGTTGCTCTCTGTGATGCAGGAGTTTGGAAGACCTGGAAGCCACATGTAGCCTTTGAGACCTTTGCGGGTCTGTTCAAGGGGTTGGAGTTTGAAGACTTTGACCAAGTCTGGCCGCTGCTCTTTTCCACCAAAGAACTTGATCAGATTGAGTTGAGACGCATCACTCAGCAGGACACTCAGAAGCTGGCAAACAAGACTGGCAAGCTCTTGGAACCAACAGAGATTCTTGGCTTGCAATCTCATGGAGACGATGATGCACATGAGATCCTACTTCGAGCAGGAGAGCGCATGAGCATGTTGCTTCGGGACAAGTCCCATTTCCTTCACCGCAAGGAAGATGGCATCAAGGACAAGATTCCCCTCATCCAACAGAAGAAGGAGCTGTTGGCTGATCTCCTCTCGAAGCCTTCCCCAGCAGGGCATGAGTGGCAAGCTTTCAGAAGTGGCATTCAATGCAGCCATTGCAAGCTCCGGTATCATAGCAAGAGCCTGATAGCTGAGCTGAAGGAAGCGTCCGACAAGCCTTGCCAGAAGGCGCCCATCAGCACACAGCCCAAGCAGACCAGGATGGAGATGATTCATACTCTAGTGGCGGCCCAACAAGGTCCTCAGCCAGGCTTGAAACTTGACCGTGCCTACCTCTGATGCACGGAATGCAGAAGCTACATCCTCGCCAGGACGAATGAAGAGGCCTTCGCCAGGTTTGTGGGTGAGCCCTGTCACTGCGGCCCTTGGCACCAAGCCTGTGGACGGGCCATGTGACGCAATGAACTTGAGGCAAATGTTCGCATAGCACAGCAGCACAGCAGAAAAGGCGTGCAAAAAAAGTACATACATACATACATACATACATTCATACATACACACATACATACCTACGTACGACGTACCAATACACACCAACACATACCAGTACATACCATTACATTACGTTTCGGTACAACATGTTGTCAAGCGCAAATGGGCCCGCCCGCAAAAGCAATGGCTTCAGGCCCACGCAATACGGTAGCACATTGCCAAGGCATCACCAGATGCACCGCCAATGCCTGCCACAAAGAACGGGCGGTATCCCACCAAGAGTTCAACAAATACTGCGCAAATGACGATTGCTTGGCACCCGCTGCGTGGTTTGATTCAAGGACCATCAAACTGAGCTGAGTTGCTGTAAAAGTCCTTCTCATAGGGAACCCACTTTTTGGGCATGCTCGACGCAGTGCTTGTGTTGGTGTGGACAAAGCATCCACTGACCTAAACGAACACGGCAGCACAGCCAAACAAAACTTGCAACCCTGTAAGCACTTTCTTCTTACAACCTGCACGGGCAAAATCCACTCGCAACCCCGCTGTATTCAAGATATAAAGTGGCCTGCGAAAAGATCGTTTAAGAACTCATGGAAACACAGAGAAACAAATAGCAAGCGGTCCACAGGTAAAAAACAGTGGATGAACATTGGTTGCGACCACTTTTTTGGATTCACTGCCAGGTCGTCCTAAGCATCCCACGGGCGATCAAGTTACCCTTTTGCCCCTAATGTCAACCTATGATTTATCAACCCACCCTGAAGACTAAGCAAATCACCTACCAAAGCTATAAGTGCTTACCTATACACCCTCCAAAAAACCAAACGACGTTTTGACCACTTGACCTAGACTATATAGATATCTCCAATACGGCCTTTAACAAAGTTGTCTTGAACAAATTCCTGTCCTTTAGTTTCGTTTATATAGTGTTAATGCCTTTCAATTCTTATTAACTGGTTCCTCCTTTGGATTCCATCTTACATCCTCCCCTCTCGATTTCATCAATTGGATTCACCGACCCCCAAAACCTTCAGATCAAAATTCTTGATCGTTTCCTTATTCGAAGCCCACCAAAATTTATCAAAATCAGTCTGGAAAGGGCGCCCCCCTTGAAGCCACAATACCCTCAATAAAGTGTACCCTAAATAAAGCCAAACAGTCTTGTGGGCAGAACGCTAACTTTCCTTTTGTCTTAATTCCTGGACTTTCCTCAACTCCTTCTTTCTAGGTTCCTTACTAATCTAGTTTCAATCCCGTTAAAAGCAGAAGCGGCCGTTTTCTTTCGAACACCCAAAAGCCACGTCAAACGCATGTCAAACGCTGAACTGTACGCGTGCGTGATCTGCAGAATGAATCTTTATACCCTGCCTCGTACATTGACGCCCCAGTCAGTGTACACGTTTTTTCAGGTCTTTGCGGCCATTCATTTCGTGAAGCTCGTGGGGCGTTGTGCCTAGTTGAAAGGTCTCTCAGTCATTGGCGGCGCGCCACAGTTTTTCTCCTCGTTCACCTCCTCTTCTTTCAAATTCAATCTCCTTCTAGTTGCGGGCTTGCCGTCTTCGGTGTTTCCTAGCTGGCCGTTTGAGCTGCCAGCTGCCATGCGCACATCTTGAAGTCTCTTCTACTTGGATTCCAAGAGTGCCAAAGTGACCTCTCCCGGGATAACATCAGCTTCAGGCGGTATGCTATGGAGACTCGCGTTCTCGTAGTTCTGCACTTCTTCAACTGCCAGTCGTCCTTCACCTCTTTCATATCTCTCCCTTATGCTTTCTGTTGTTTGCATCTCTTCACGCTCCACTTCTCTCACGGCCCTTTCAATGGCCTCGAAAGCTTCTCTTATAGCCTTCAGCTGCGCTGCAATCATCTATAGCTGTCAGCATGCGCTGAAGTCGTCCAAGCATCACGTCACTCACTGCCACTGAATGTGACATTGCTGTCTGCGCGATTTGTCTGATGAACCTGGCTAGTTAGTTCTGATGAATCTTGCTAGTTAGTTCTGCTCCATCTCTTGCCTGTTGTTGCTGTCCGCTATCATTTGGCTCAATCTCTGGGAGTTTCTTTCTAACGTGTCCCGCATTCTCAATGTCTTGAGCTCTGTTGAGCCTTGCGCTAATTCGGTCTCCTCAGTCTGTTGCGTACTCCAGAAGAGCTTGTGAGCTGTCCACTGCTTCTGGTTCGTGATCTTCTCCTCCATGGCCAGGCCGTCCATGTCCAAAATATTGTTGATGATCCTTGATGGGCTCGTCGAACATGTCCAGGATGGGGTTCTAAGTTCATTTTCGCTGTCAACTTCATAAGTCTCTCCATTCTCGTCGGGATTCATAGCTCCATGCGCGATGGCCCTTGACAATTCTCTTTCTATTGTCTTCTTCTTCTTGGTCTCGCCCAGGTTGATCCAAAGTGTCACCTGGGTTCACCAATGGATACCAATGGTCTCTTCACCTTCTGGAACTCGATCTTCTCGCTCTTGTTCTTCTTGTTCTTCCGCTGTTTCGCATAGCTTCTACCGCTGCCACTGTGCTGCCACCTGTTCGCCTGAAAGGCAATGTAAAGATGTCAGCTAAGCCGCGCGTGAACCTTGAAGGGTCAACATCTTGCCAAGCTCCTTGCGAAGCAACATACTCTTCGCCAAGCTCTGCAAGCGCTCCAATGTTGGTAGGAAGTCTCCAGCCCCTCTTCTTCTGGCTCTTCATGCCTGTAGGGACCTTCTGAGTGCGTTGTCAACGGTGCCTTCGCAACTTGAACCATGCCCAGTCATCGACATTGCACGCAACAAGAAGGTCGTCCACGTGGATCATCAGGAAATACCAGGAACATAGTTCTCTGCTTTTTTGAAGACTTTTGGCATTCCGGTGTAGCTAATGAACCTGTTTTTTCTGCCATGTCTTTGAAGCGCTCACTCGATCGCAAAGCTGCTTTTCTTTGGCCTGGTAAACAATCGAAAAGTTCCAAGCATTCTGCCTTCAGCAAAAGATTGTTCTTGTTGATCTCCTTGCGCTAGGCCTCGAACCCGTCGAAGCACAACCATCTCAACCAGTTCTAGTATCCTTATGTCAGCCATGTAGGCTCCGAGAGTGGTGATCAGCTTCGCGGTAGAGCTTGCAGGCGTTGGGCTGAGGTCCGTTATTCTTTTGCTACTATTCGGCATCTTCGTTTCCACTTGCCCCGATATCGCCAGTCAAAAACACACGTCGTATCCAAGATCAAAGCTTCTTGTCTGTCTCCTCATCAGCCACTGCCAGCGTCCAACTTCTGCAATCTCTCAAACTCTTCAAGGGTTGCATTCTGGTCAAGCTGTGCTACTTACTTCATCTACTGGTGGAGGTCCACTGCGTCGCTCTGGATCCATCAACTTGTCAGAAGAGTCACGGTCACCGTCAAGTTCTGGATATGTCTCAACATCAAAAGTCGACTCTTCAAGCGTGTCTGTCTGCTCACCCACAATGTGCTCAACTTCACGAATGTCTCCGGCAAAAGTCGGAGAGTACACGCCAGTTCGTGGCGCCTTCGAAGGATGACTTGAACTCGACTCACTATGCTTGTAGTGCTTTGCTGCTTGTTCCACCGTCATCTCGGGCGTGAACTCGGTCTTCCTTCGGCTCTGCTGGAGGTTCTTGTTGAGGTAGATAAGGTTGCTGCTGCTGCTGCTGCTGGACCTGGTTCACCTTCTGAGGGCAATCACGCGCCCAATGGCCATTTTTGTCGCGCACCAAGCAAGCATTGTTGCTATAGCTCATGAAGTTCTGGTTCTAGCTGTTATTCACATTGTCGCCTCTATTCTTTCTTTTGAAACTTCATTTCTTTCCACCTCCTTTCTGGCCTTTGCTTTGTTTGCTTTTGCCTCGGCTCTTGCCTTTTCCTGTGCCTTTGCCTTTGCCATGTCCTTTGAAGCTTCTGCCTCGAACCCCACCAAAGCTCCAAGCGCTCTGCCATGAACTGTTCTTAGCTTGGGCTTTACCTTTGTACTTGCCTCTTCCTTTGCCTTTGCCAGTGACCTTGTCCACCTCCATAGGTGCCAAGCTGCTGTCGGTGCTTGAGCATCCAGGGTCATGAAGTTCAAGTCGCTAAAGCTCTTTGAAGCGCGCTCATACGCCAACAATGCATCTGCATAGGTCGACTTGTCAGTCACGGACAACTGGGCGCTCCTTCAGCTTCTGCGGCGCGCGCCTGATGAGAGTTGCCGAGTTGCTGTCTTCAAAATTTGTGGAGAGATGTTTCCTTGCTTGTCTGCTCATACAGCGTCACCAGATTGAAGGATGTTCTCCAATATCGAAAGGGAGTTGAAGTCGGGATATGGACCCCAAGTTTGAGCCTGCCAGTGACCGCTGCCTGGCTGCAGGAAGGAACTCCCTGCACATCTGGAACCATAGTCTGAAGCCATCTTTGTGCTGTGGACTCGCTCTGACCAACTGGAGACACCGTCCACGAAGATAGGAGCTCAACACCGCCAAGAACTTGTTTAGCCACTGCAGTTTTGTTCTGTCGTATTATAGGACCTGTTGTCTGGCTCAAGGCTGTTCTGCTTTTTTGGGGCCAACAAGTCTGTGCACCTAGAATCGCCAAATTTCAACCATGATTCAAACAGAAGTTTCCAGCTTGCAAACAAAAGACGATCTTCTCCTGACAACGTGTCTGGGTTCTTGAGGATTTCGGTCGCCGATTCAAGCCCTTGTGATGTCGAGCTTGATGCCTTTGCAAAAGCCTGTGGCCTCACTTGCTGCCAAAGCTGTGTTGTTTGCTGCCTCAGCCAAACTCGAGACGCGCTGAAGCAACTGCTGAGTTTCCACGCCGCTCGCCTTGCTCTACGTTGCCAGCATCATGAAGATCTGCATCTGCCGCCGTTTCACCATTCGGCCCAAGTGGCCTCTGCTCATGTCTTTGCCTTTGACCTTGTCCTTCAACCATGTCACGCGCTCTTTTCTTGTCTTCCAGCCTGGCTTCAACTTCTGTCTGAAAACGCGGGCCGTCCTCAGGAAGCCAAAAACCAGCAACGTGATCAGCGGCCACCTGCTCTGGACGGCGATGCACCAAAAGCACATAATCTTGAAGCTGTCGAGGTCCATGACGTGTGATCCATAGACCATAGTCTTGTAGACCTCGTCATGGTTTGTGTCCATGAGGATGTTCAAACAGTCCTTCATGCCACGCTCTTTCATCAGGCACTTCTCGATGTCAAAGTTCAGGGCGTAGTCCACGTTCTTGTAGGTGTTCTTTCTGGCGCCGGGTGTTCATGGGGCTCCCCACCATCCATGGCAAAAACAATGGCGCAAGGACCCTCATTCCCTCATCACCTCTAGGGTGAATCCTCAAGCTCCGCGACCATGTTAAAAGCGGAAGCGGCCGTTTTCTCCCAAACACTGAGAAGTGAGAAGCCACGTCAAACACCGCAGCCACATATAGCGGATGGCTTCCGTCAGTGACGACGAGGAGCGGCTTTCACACTGTGTAGAACTCGGAGCAAGATGCGCAACTTGGCGTTTTCGCTCAGCTGGTTGAACTTCTAAGGGGATTCCTCTCTGCCTTGTCAATTCTCGCGTTTTTTGCTGCGCCAGCCCTTGCCCCCGTCAACCCGAAGGGTCTGCGAGGTGCGCCAAAGTGACCCAGCTGCGTTCAAGGCGCTTGGTCTGCCTTCTCGCTCGCGTCATATAATACCGACAACGGTCGTGCAAGGGACAGCGTATAGTACTTGGCAGCCTTGAGGACATTGAGTTGTCCAAATTCAAGTCTCCCCCCACGCGCGCGTATTCCACTGACTCCTGACCGTGGGCCGACCTCGGATCGAAGGATCTGGCGCGCAGGATCAAGGCTCATGAAGTCTTGCGAGTCCAGATCGGGCGCAGGATCTTGCTCTCATCGTCGCTGTCCCTTGGGCTCACGCGCGTAGGCTGCCACTTCCTCCTGCAAACGCAATGTCGAATGCTTCTAGCTCTTTGAAGACGCAATTCACCAAGCGAATGGCTAGAGCTTGTGGATAGCTGAAGACGCACTCAGTGCCTTCAAGGCAACTTAATTTGGACTCTGGCAAATGTTCTGATCGTTACGCATCTGCTTGAGACCAAACATGCGTTGATCGACGCGCGCATCAAAGCCAATCATCTGCTGAAAGGCCTGAGTCTGCCAGGCACGGCTCTTCTAGGGAGGCTCGAGCTAAGGGCCATCAAACGCTTGCGCAGAATCCCATTCTCGCGCCTCCTGCAACCTGGGGCATAGCTGGCGTCAATCAGGTGCTTGTAGATGGACTCACCCTTGGACCCACGAGGACAAATCTTCCAAGCCTTATTGCCCCACATGATGTGGCCTGCCGCCGGCCGCATAATTGATCGCAATGTCCAGGGCCTCAAGAACGGTCCGCCAAACAGAGAAGGTGCATTCCCTGGGGCGATGTGCGTCAACACATCGCGATGCTTGCCCTGCGCGAGTGTGGGGAGTTGTTCTTGAAGGTAGCCCTGCTCGCAGGTAAGAACACTGACAGCTCCACAGTCCATCAGCTTCGACTTCACCCTCTTCAAGCATCAGCCACACCTCCTCGCCCTCAAGGTTGACATCAGCATCAATGGACGACGCTTGCAAGCGCCAGCGGGACAGTTCTTTGCACGGCGCCCAGCTTGTCCACCCAAAGACACTTGTGCGCCCATGCCGGCGCGTCCGTGAGCCGACCGAGGGGAGGGTTGGACTTGCTTGGACCCGAGGATGGTGGTGGGACCGTTAGACCCTTTCTTTCCTTTTGACTTGCTCTTTCCTTCTTTGGCTTTGGATCCTCCTTTACCTCCCATGAAGCTCTTGTAGTTTGGCCTTTGTCGATCAAGGACCATTGCGACCACAGGTATAGTAGCCACGAGACACGCGCATCTGGCGTCAGGGCCATCATGCCTTCTGCTCCTTCAGCCCTCTAGACTTCTGAATCATAGCCCTTCTGCTCATAGATGTACTCGAGGTTGTCATCACCATAGCATCCTTGTAGGAGGAGTTGGCGTTCCAGCGACTTGTGGACTTGTAGACATCACACTCTGGGACATGGTCAATGTCCTGACCAATCAAATCACAAAGCTCATCGACTTCCGACCTGTGTCCAAGGAGAAAGGCTTTGAGCGAATGCTCGACATGATGAGCTGTTGCTGAGATGCTCCAGCATGTTGGGGTCGAAGTGTATCCTGAGGCCGACATTGAGCTCCGCGCCACCAACTACAAATGATCGGTCACCCTCAAATTTGACCAACCGGCACTGAACTCTTTCCTCAAAAGGCGTAGGCTCCAGTGGCTCCAAGAGACATGAACAGTCTTCCCACCCTTTTCAGCTGAAATTTCACACAGTGCAACTGGCATGTTGCGACCCACCCTCAGGTGATCTTGGGTGTGTCTGGCTCAGCTTCATTACCAGAAGCTCCCTCTCCCCTCAACGAACAAGAGCGGTTGTTTGCCTTAGAATCTATAGTCATTGGAACTATGCAGGTGCACCTCAAAGATATTTTATTGGTCCCGAGTCTTGAGGACTTTTATGCCCTTTATGCTGGCGAGTTTCCGCGGCGCATTCAGTCCTGCTTGGCATAAAGGAAAACCCAATACAGTTTGCCTCCAGCTCACAAGCCCTTCGGCCTCAGTCGCGTCTTCCAGGCCCCGTACTACTGCTTTCAGCCATACGAAAGAAAAAGCACAAAAGATACTAAAAGACATTAAAACATGAGTATTGATGAGATGAGTAACTATTGTGAATTGCACAATGCAACCCAGCAGCAATCAAGTTTTGTGACGGTAGACCCATAGTATCCATTCACCCGGCAACTGCTTTCGTCAGGGTCGCAACCTGCGCAAGTAGGTAATGCACATTCACCAAGCTCGCTTCTGTGCTAGGCGAGGCAGCAGTATGGGAAACGCAATGAACCTAATATGTAAAACTCATAAGTTTCTTGCGTGAAAGGAAGATGTCTCGCCTCGTGCCCGCGCTCGGTTCGACCCGCTTACAAGGGTGGGAGGGAGGCTGTTCATGTGAGACAAAGGTGCGGTCACCAGTCTGGTTAGGTTCTGGATAGGGCAGGGTTCCCTACTGTAGGTCAATACTCCAGTGCGAGTTCAACATTGGTAGCGGAGCCTCCGCAAAGGAGGCTGTAGGTGGTTTCGGGTTTGTTGAATTAATCCTAGGGTGGATTGTTCGAATTTGCGTTGTTGGGTTTTGCTTTTGTGTTGCACGACTTTTCACTCGTCTTGACTGAGTGAGCCATGGCTGGAGCAGAAGGGAGTTCAGATGAGAAGGGCAGCCACATTTGGTCTCTTCTACCCTCCTTCGATCCTGCGCAGGACGACCCTCGGGAATATGCGGACAAGGTCCGGTTCCTTCGTTCCATATGCCCTGTCAAGGATCGTGCCATGTTAGCCCCTCATTTGGCTATGATGATGAAGGGTACCGCTTGGGCACAGGTGAAGGCATTGGATGGAGCAGCTCTGGCTGACCCTGAGAAGGGCATCCACTTGCTCTTGTCGACAGTCGCTGCCTGGAAAGATTCAGCTGAGATCCAAACATACGAGAAATTTGAGAAGGCGCTGTACAAGGTGACACAGAAACAGGATGAGTCAGTCTTCTCATACGTCAATCGTATGAATGTGGCATTCGCTGAAATCGACAAGGTGACCATCAACGAGGTCAAGGCTTTCATCATGCTACACCAGAGTTTCCTGGGCGCAGAAGACAAGAAACGCATCCTCTCCATGACGGGAGGAGAATTGAAGGCCAAGAAGGTTGAAGTTGCTATGAGGCAACTGGCCCCAAAGGTCCTGGTTGGTTCTACTGGGACGGAAAACAAGAAGAAGATCTACTCCGTGAACTATGTGGAAGAAGATGAAGAGATTCCCGTGTACGTCGCAGATGACGAGTACCAGGTGGATGATGATGCCGGGATGGCCATCCCTCCTAGATCAAGGAGATGAAGATGCATTGCTGATCTCAGAATTCGAAGATCAGCTGATCGAGGCCTGTGAGGACAACCTGGACCTGAGCATGCGCTTCTCGGCTTACGCAGAAGCCCGTGGACGTGTTCGGGACAAAATCCGATCAAGAGGATTCTGGCCACCGATCAAGGGCAAGGGAAAGACTAAAGGCTCCAAGAAAGGTCCATGGATGTCAAAAGGTGGACCTCGAAAGAGACAATCTCTTGCCGACCGCATCGCCAATTCAAACTGCAAACTCTGTGGTGCTCGTGGACATTGGCGCCAGGAATGTCCCAACAAGGGAACTGGAAACAACCCGAATGCCTCCTCTGAGATCCATGTGTCGACCCTAGTCGGGGACAAAGGTGACCATATGGACCAAGAAGTCTTTGAGAGGCTGCCGATTTCCTTGGAGACCAGCCTCCCCGAATGGTGGCCGCAGATGGATGAGCAGGTGACGATTCAGCAGACAGAGAAGGAGACGCTTTTGGATGAGGACCAGGACATGTCAGCGTCCCCTGCAGACCGACAGGACTGTCTGACCGACGTCGAACCTCCCTCCAATTTTTGTGATTCGAATCGTGAAACCCGTGTTAATGAAGAATTCATTTTTGCTGCTCTATCCTTATCGGGCATGAAACATGCATTGAGAAAGGGTCTCCGGGAACAGTTGGTTTTGAAACATGTCAGGCGTGAACCATCACTTGAGCCGATTCTTTTTGTAGATCAAGGCGTTTCCGCCATTTTGGATACCGGAGCAAGTAAGTCCGTGATTGGAAAAGAGAGGTTAGAGCAGCTTGTGAGTCATTTGCCTAGAGAGATAGTCAAGAAGATGTCATGGCAGAAATCAGAGACGGTGTTTCGTTTTGGGAATAATGGAACACTGAGTAGTCTAGGTTCTGTGTTTTTTCCTTTCGGCCCCCGTTGGCTGAAGATCGAAGTCGTTGAAGGGACCACGCCGTTTTTGCTGTCGAATGCATTTCTGAAATCGGTAGAAGCGGATATCTGTACTTCAAGCAGCTGTTGTGCATGTTTCAAGGAAAAGTAAGTGTTCCTTTGTTGACTAGTGACTAGTGCGAAAGGATTGTTTTTGGTTGATTTGACAGCGAGCTTGAAACATGCTTCAGACATCGAATTGCATAGCAAACGATGGGAGGTCGTGACACACACTAGTGATGAGAAGTGTCCTGTTCAAATTGAACCTCAACAACAACACACAGGAAAGACCGGGAACAGCACACTGACACCTCCAGCTGACACCAACCCAGTGAGAGACCCGCACCGGTGACATCGCCTGAACTTTGCCACGGCGCCCAAGAAGGTGATCCAAACTTACGCAGCCGGCAGCTTGGACTCCCCTCTGATGCTCCCCGAAGACAGCATTTTGGCCCAGATCTCTCTGGCCGATCAGGTGCGGATTGTCAAGCCTCCGGGGGTGGAGACCCTTCGAGAATGGGGAGGGCAAATCCTATCGGGTGGAAAATATGCCGGCCGGAACTTTGCAGAGGTCCTGGCCATCGATGCGGGCTATGTGGAGTTCATGAAAAAGAAGACGGACTGTACGTCAGCATGGGCACTGAGTTTCCACAACTATGCCCTGGCGATGGAAAAGCATGGGATGCCATCGACACAGGAGCCTATCCCTCCAGTGGGAAACCAATCAGTGATCATGAAGGCAAAGCAGACATGGATCGAGAATGGAGCGGCAGTGACCGATTGGGACATTGTCGACGAAATGAAGGCCTCCAGAAGCTCGGAAATCCCAATGGGGACTACATCTTTGGCAAGTGGAGCAGTTCCGGTGAAGCGCACGAACCCCAGCACGGAGACCACCCGGAAGATGAACGTGGACATGGACAAGGAGACTTGGGAGCGCGTGCAGCAGATTCAGACGCAGATCACAATCCTGCAGCGCGAACTGAGTCATCTGATGCCCGCGGAAGATGCGTAGACTTACCGAATGAGAGGCCGAGTTATGAGCATTCCACCTCAGAAGAATCATCTCCAGACATGGACACTTCCTTGAATAAGTTCTTGGACAAGGAGTTAGCCAACCTGGTGGACAAAATTGAACATCAGATGGTGGAATTGGCACAACACTCGACCGACATCCGAACACGACAACAAGCACCACGAACCCACAATTCGAATGAGAGATTAGACATCCTGGAAGCTTTTGTTATCCAGATTCCCAATTGAGCCGTGTTGCCAGCCAGATGGGCCTCAAGGCCCAACGTTTCTCCAACCAGGATGGCGATCTCCGTACGCCAGAAGGACAAGCGGCACTTTGGAACATCATTGAAACAAGACAGCCCAAGCACATCTGGACCTCTCCGGACTGTCGATACTGGGGAAACTTCTCTAGGAGGAACATGGGTAGGAGTGTTAAACTCTGCAAGCAAATCCTAGAAGGTAGGAAGAGTGAGAGGGTGAATTTGAGTTTGTGCGATCAGCTGTATTTGTACCAAGTTGAGCAGGGATGTCATTTTCATCTTGAGCAACCTGTTGGTTCCGAACTTCCCCTCCAACCTGAGCTTGAACAGATGAGGTATGGGACCTTAGCCACTGTTTTTGATATGTGTGAGGTGGGAGGTTTGAACTGGAAGGGCGAACCAATTCAGAAGAGAACTGTTGTTTTGACGACCTCCCGAACATTGCACAATGAGCTAGACTGCAGATACTGCGCCAAAGGACACGACCATCGTAGGATAGAAGGCCAGGTGAAGCACGTGGGCAGATGGATACCGCTATCGTCCTCTGCGGCTAAGTATTCAGCAGGCTTTGCTCGTGCAGTGGTGAAATCTATTCAGAAAGCTGGATCTGAGTTGCCGCTGTTGAGAGAAGAACTACACATTCAAGGTCATTTGGAAGATGTAGATACAGTTTTGGTAGGAGAAGCCTTGAAACGACGGAGATTGATTTCGAAACAGACGGTAGGAGAAAGGACAGTAGACGATTTTGAGATTGAACAACGTCGAAAGAAACGCTGGGAACAAAGGCTGAAAGAGTTGTTTGTGGAATTGGATAAGTGTGCTCCCAGAGTTGATGACCCCCTGTTCAAAAGGTCCCAGGAGTTGTGTAGCTTTCGGTTGATCCATGCAGAAGTATGTAGGGGTACGGAGAGATTGAGGATTCCCAAGCCCAGAACAGAATTGAGTGATTTGGATCTTCGTCAAACCTTTTCTATGGGTCGTACCAGTGGGAGAATAGAACAAGTAGGAGAGGTAGAAGAGTGGCAGAAGTTGTCACAAAGACAGAAGATACGCAAGGGAATTCCTGCAAAGTTGTCCCTTACTCTTTTTGGAAAAGCCAAGAGTTCCTCAAGCACACAACCTTCCCGAGCCGTCTCTCCGATGATGTTAGACGAACCTTTTGCAATCGAATCGGGAAATCTGAAACGAACACTTGAGACCGACGAAGACGATGGACAGAAACGTTTCAAAGGTGAGGCAAGAGAGGTTGCAAAGAAACAGGTAGAGGAACTGGGTTCGGGAAACGCGACCAAGGAGGACGTGACAATGGACGAGGACTGGGAGATTCCAGGTAGACCTCCCAGAAATTTAGCAAGACATGGACCCGATTTTCTATCTTTGGATGACAAACAGAAACAGTGGTTGAAAAAGGTTCATCACCGTTTAGGACACCTGGACGCGGAAACCTTGGTAAGATATCTCAAGACCACTGAAGCAGAGCCTGTTTTGATTGATGGTGCAAAAGATTATCAATGTGATGCCTGCGCCGAAACCAGAAAGGGATACGACCTACCACAAGCAGGAGCAATTGAGCGACCGGCAAAACTAGGGGTCGTTTGGTGGTACGTTTAGAGCATGGTATCGTTTTTGGGATTGGTATCGTGCTTTCAATCCATATGCAATTTTTTGG